TGGGGGGCTAGTCCTCACCCCCTCAGGGATGTGCCAGGAGTATCCACGTCCCGGTGCTGAGTTGCCAGACCCCAGTCAAGGGAGGGAGCAGCCGATCTATGCCAGACCCTCCCCAACTCCAGCCTTGGCACAGCTGCAGCCACCACATCGGGTGGCTAGGGGGCAGGGGACCCATGCAGTGTCCCCTTCCCAGGGCTCCCAGGGACAGCTGTCACAGAAGAGGTCACCCAGCTACAAGGGGCTTGGGACCCAGCACCACCTCGGGTGGGAGTCAGGCCAGAGGCAGGAGCAAGGGGAAGGGGTGAGTGCCCAGCCTGGCTCCCCAGGGGCAGCAGGGTGGGGGACAGGAGCATGCAGGGGCAGGGGCATGCGTGGGCACAGCTGAACTCCCGCCCCTCACACATGGGAGAAAGCGTGGCTCTTGCAGAGCGGCTTGTCCTTCTTGGAGTAGAACGTCTTCCCTTCCAGGTTGGTCTGGCAGATCTGGGGAGGAGAGCGCAGGTGGTCAGGTCAGCCCCCAGGTCACCACCCCCAACCCAGGGCTCAGCACCAACAGATGCCAGGGAGCAGCAGGCTCAGAGCAGGGACCTGAGCCACCAGTGCAGAGCCAAGGGGGGAAAACCGTGTGGCAGCAGGGACCCCACGCAGAGCACGACTGCCAGGGAGAGCCATGGCCCCACCGGCAGCTGGGGAGGGAGGCACACGGCTCACCGCACAGACGAAGCAAGTGTCGTGCCAGCTGAACCCCAGCGCCTCCAGGAACCGGTCCCCAGCATCAATCTTGAAGTCACAGCCGCGGCACTTGGTGCCAAACATCTTCTCATAGTCTGTGAGGAGGGGCAGAGCCCAGGTCAGTGCTCCCCTGCCCTGCAGCCCCTCGTCCCAGAGGAACCAGGCTGCAGCACAGCCAGGATCCTGCAGGCATAGCCTGGGGACAACTTGCTGCCAGCCCCAGGGGGACGATGCCTGAGACACCCGGACAACATGCCTGTGCCGTGCTAGGATGGCCCCAGCTGCAACCCAGCAGCAGGGAGGAGGCAAACCTCATCTCCCAGGATGCAGCACTCGCCTTTGATGTACATCCTCCCTCATTGCCATGGCAACATGGGAGCGATGGCACCACCCAGCAGCCTGGGAGGACCAGGATGGAGGGCTCAGGGCTATGAGAGAGGGGTCCCTGCATTCCCCATGGCCTGGGGAAAGACCCACAGCACAGGGCAGCCCACCCCCACCCCACGGGCAGGTGCTGAGCCTGGACAGTGGCCAGGGCCATGCGGAGGGGCATGTGGGGTCCCATGTCCTACCTCTCTCGCAGTAGGGCTGTCCCTCCTCCATGTAGAAGGCCCGGTTGCGGATGGGAGTTTTGCAGGCAGCGCAGGTGAAGCACTGCACGTGCCAGGTCATCTTCAGTGCGTGCATGACCTCCTGGAGGGGAACTGCTGTCAGCCAGGGGCAGGACCATCCTGCGCCTCAGGGAACCTCCTCCCAGGGCAGAAAGGGACAAAGGATCCCTGGGGATGGGATCAGGATGGGAAGGGACAGAGCTGGGGACCCATGAGTGGTGACAGGAGGTATGGGGCAGGCCGAGGGACACTCACCCCAGTGATCTTCTTCTTGCACTTGGCACAGCTGGGTGCGTAGCGCGTGTCGTAGCACTTGGGGCAGAAGATGGAGCCTTTCTCCTCGAAGAAGCCGCCCTCATCCAGCACCTTCCTGCACTGGCAGCAGGTGAACTCCTCGGGGTGGTAATAATGTCCCA